CACTGCCAGCGCTTTATTTGTGGCCCATTTCTCTGTGAAGGGAATGGCATCTATGGGGCGACCCTTTTGCACACCACTGGCCAGCGTTGATATGATAGTGGCGACGGCCGGTGTCACCGACAACTGGTGGATAAGCCCCCGGAGGCTACACTCGGACACCACTCCGTCCGCACTCATGAATAGTATTTTAATGCTCTCATCAATAGGAAAGGTATTATCGCCCAGGGATGTCATATTTCGATTAAATAATACTTTTTAATTAAAATTTTATAAATAACTTTATAAAGTCGTATAAATTTAATAATGATTTGACTCTTAAATTGTAAAATATATACTGTTTTCCAGTGAATGCCAGCTATTTATACGTCGACTGAGAGATAATAGTACTTAAACTAAACGGTTACCCTACATAGTGTATGCGCACATTTTTTTATATTTGCTAGATTAATTTACGATATAATTGAGAGTAAATAAATATTTCTATAAATAATATTTGTGGTTATATTGAGATAAGTTGTAATATAAAAGGAGAGATGGGGAGAGAGAGAGAGAGATTGCGTATTTGATTTGTATTGATTAAATTTGATACACATTTCGCAATGACCTTGAACAAATGTCAGTGGATGAAAATATTTTGAAGTATTCGCTATTCAAAACTAGATCCTAAGTCAATTGAAGTAAAGTATTATTCCCAACTCAATAACAAATTTATAAATTTTGGATATAATTAATTAATTAATATAACACGGTAAGATATTTATATAAAATTATAATTGAAATTTTTTGAGGCAACGCCTATGTCTATTTTAGCACACATTATTATGAATATATCATTTAAATATTTTAACTAATACAATTATCTCAAATATAAATTTTAGTTAATCCACTGATTATATCATTTTTGTAATTTTCTAAAAAGTAGAATTAATATTATAATAAATTCAATAATTAAAATTTATCAATTTTTTATAACTGACCCAGCCATAAATGTATTTGTTTATAACAGTATCAAAACATGGATAAAATACAACTAAAAGACCTGGATATTAGTCTGGTGGACAACAAACGGAACTACATATCGGGCGACACAGTGTATGGTACGGTAAGATTCACAGTAACCGGTGGGCAAATGGAGGTGTCCTGGGTGAGAATCTCACTAATATGCCAGGCTAAAACAAGCTGGGTCGAAAATCCAGGTCTACGTCATCACAAGGGAGGCCATACTTATGGCGACCAAAAGACATACATTCACTTTGACTATAGAATTCCCGATCAATGTATGTATTAAGGGTGAAGTGGGGGTGAGTATAGTATGACCCTGATCTCTCTCATAATACATCATGCACATTGTTTCATTGTAGTGGCATTAAAACACCTTGAACCTGGCAAGCACCAAATACTCTTTGAATTTAAACTGCCTGTTGAGTTAGTATAAAAATTTAAATAATACTAATAAAATTAGATAATTGATACACTGTATAACTGACCAGGGGCATTGCACCATCGTACGAGAGTGACCACGGATTGATTGAATACTATTTGAAAGTAACTATCGATGAGACGACTGTGGATGAGGTGCAGACGGTTAAGACAGGGATCACAGTNTGAGGTGCAGACGGTTAAGACAGGGATCACAGTACAGGCTCCCATGCGAAACAATTTGCACGTATGTCCCATTGAGCATTGAGCATGGTGATTTCATTTATTTGTTACTAAATATTACATTCAAAATAACTGTAAATTAGGTGTCGGTTGGCGGCAATGTTGATAAGGTGTTTACGTTTCCCACCGTTGGAACTGGATCAGTAATATTCACTAATCTATCATATTTAGCTTTCTATAATTTAAATTGATCCCGATCACAGATCAGAATGCACGCTAGTGTGGTGAGAAAAGGGTTTGAATCAGGTATGTTTATCATACTTTTCGTTTATGTTTCACACATTAGATGGAATACAATATATTTTAAAATGTCTTACTAAATGAACTAGGACACCCCCTAGAAGTGGACTGCTTTATATGGAACGAGTCGAGTCTGGACGTAAAACCCCGGGTCACTCTATACCAGACAAAGGTCTACATATGTGGCGAACGGCATAAGGCTGTGGATGTGGCCCTTACGGAAGCCCTCGTGGGTCAGGTGGTTAAGGGTAGCGCCAAGTGTAGGGAATCATTTTCACTGGTTATTCCCGACGGCCTGCCCCTGTCGTTCAAAAGTGGTTTGATTTCAGTGAAATACTTTGCGCATTTGACCCTGGACATACCATACGCCATTGATCTGCACATAAACTTACCGATTGTTATCACCACAAAAGGGGCGCTCGAAGCTATTTGAACTTGTTAAATATACCAGTATATCATTTAACTTTATATTATATACATTATTTTGCTTGTTATTTTAATCTCGATAATTTATTTTTCATTATACTCTACACTATTCCCTGTTTACTAATTAAAACACTTTATATTGTTTAAAATGAATGGTTTATATAAAATACTGTTCTCGCACAATTATGTTAGGAATATACGTATTCATACAAAACCAGTTCATAAACTTTTATTTACTTATACAAATACAATGTCTAGAATTTAAACAGTCTAATTATTATTAGACTCTAATTTAAGCAAATTTCACAAAATTGTTAATCAAATTAATCATCATTGAAATTATTAAAATAATCTCGGTAAAATCAATTTAATATTTAGATTAAAAACTCAAAAAATATACAAAAAAAAGTGACATTAACTGAATTAACGAATATAATATACTGTATTATTCTGTATGACAGTGTGTTAACGCAATCGCAATACAATAAAAGTCTAATTCCGTAAACATCTCAAGGCTTGACTGCAATACAGACACAGCCAGACGTGTTCACTGCAACGCATCTATAAATTCATATAATTATAATCCATAACATTATAATACAGTATTAATAGTTGCTATTATACTCATTATATTTGTAAACATTTAGTTTTTATTTTTTGTATCATGCATATTTATTTGTTTAATTTAAATTATTTAAATTACAATTCATTGTAATATTAAGAACAATAATTTAAATAAATATTAATTAAATAAATTTCATTAGAAATAAATGTGTTTTAATTATTTTGGAGAGAAAGAGAGAGAGAGGAGAGAGAGAGAGAGAGGGAGGGAGAGAGAGAGAAAGAGGGAGGGAGAGAGAGGGAGGGAGAGAGAGAGGGAGAGTTGCGAAATAAGAATAATTCCAAAATTCCTCAAAATATAAAACTTTATAATTATCTCGAATTTCTATATCAAATACAAAACATATTTATTTTATTATCGTAAACATGATTAAATATGGCAAACATTAAACTATTTTTTATGATCATGATTGTGTTCACCTCATCACTATCGGGCTCATCAATAGCCGCCTCCACGTTATAGTGGATCCAGGCGTGAGTGTCCTCGAATGACGAGGGTGATCCACTGCAAGGGTATTTGTGATTGGTTAGTTTTATAGCAATTTGGAAACTAATTAGTAAATTAATAATTATCGCTAAAACTTATAAAATTCAAAATAAATTAATTTTTCTAAAATAATTGACTCACTCATCAGGTATCTTTATGTCAAACGGAATTGTATGCACACCACGATCCAGGGGTTTCTCGTGAGCTATTTGTAATATTGCATAATTATATGAAACACCATGGTCAAATTATTGTAATGTATTTATTACCATGTTTGTTCATATCAAAGGGGACGTCCAAAAACTTTGTATTATTATGGTGCATGAGAACATCAGCGTACATGGCTAATGGTACATTATCAGTCCAGTTGGCCTCACCCACACAGACCAGGCTTATCCGGACATTCGATGCCAGTACACCACCAGTTGAGACGAATTTTAAGCTACCGGTGACCCGATCGCCGACCACGTAATGCTTTGACTCATTATCCAGGTCAATCTCCATGTTTGTTACGTGCTTTGATTCCATTGTTAATTATCTAAATTAATTTAAATTCTTGATTAATAAGTAAATTATAAATTACACGCAATTTTTGTAATTATTATAATCATAATAATTAATTTCAAAATGAAATTGATTACTAAATGCGATATACTATACATTTTATGAAGTTAAACTAAAATAAACATTTTATTTAAAATTATAATATAGAAATGTACTTAACACAAATACCTTTGATTGACTTAACACTTGTGTAAATATAATTTAACTTAATAATAACTTTTATTTAAATGAAATAAATTTAATAATTTTTCACATAAAGTACTTCACTTTATATACCATTAACTGAGTATAAAAACTGTATTATTATGTATGACAGTGTGTTAACGCAATCGCAATACAATAAAAGTCTTATTCCGTAAACAACTCTCGGCTTGACTGCAATGCACACACAGACAGACAACTTCACTGCAACGCATCTATAAATCTATATAAACTGTAATCCATAACATTATTTAATAAATCGCAATAATGTCCTTGCTAATGCTACCGGGGCTATGGTTGGGGTCAGCCCTTTCTGGTGATTATGATGATGAGCCCGCGTATGACTACGGATACCACGACTGTGCGGACGGGTGTTACGGTGCGACCGATGGCTGTCACAACTGTTATGATAGGGAACAGCCAGTAACCGCACCGACCCCTACATCCCGGGCCTTCTCCGTGCGGGTCGACTGTCGACACTTCCGGCCTCAAGAGATACGCGTGAGTTGTGCGGAGAATAATGTGGTCGTCCACTGCCAGCACCGGGAGGAACAGGACGCGCACGGATGGGTGGAACGGGAGTTCAAGCGCCGGTACGAGTTGCCCGACAACTGCCCACCGGACACAGTGGTCGCCAATCTCGACAGGAACGGTATGCTATTGATAGAGGCTGGCAGTGAACAGCCGACACACGCGGCTACCGGTGCTAACGAGCGACACATACGCGTGAAGGTGTTGGCGCCGATCAGGTCATACCGACCCGAATGGAGGGCTCCCTTACACGCCATGGAGTTCCTCGATCGCGCCGGTATGTCGGCCGATATGAGACGTTCGCCACACTATTACCCCAACTATTAATTGATTTGCTTATTGTAGTACAGTATTAATAGTTGCTATTATACTCATTATAATTGTAAACATGTAGTGTTTATTTGTTGTATCATGCATATTTATTTGTTTAGTTTAAATAATTTAAATTACATTTCATTGTAATATTAAGAACAATAATTTAAATAAATATTAATTAAATAAATTTCATTAAAAATGTGTTTTAATTATTTTGGAGAGAGAGAGGGAGAGAGAGAGAAGGAGAGAGAGAGAGGGAGAGAGTTGCGAAATGAGAATAATTTCAAAATTCCTCAAAATATAATACTTTATAATTATCTCGAATTTCTATTTCAAATACAAAACATATTTATTGTATTATCGTAAACATTATGAAATATGACAAACATTAAACTATTTTTTATGGTCATTCAAATACAATAACACAATAATAGGGGAAGTGAGAGGGGGTGGGATTTGTTTTCAAGTTTGCAATCAAGGTCACCACTGTTTGTAAGTCATTGCATACACTGTATGCCATACAGTCTGGTAAACACTAGAATATTCTACTGTATAAACACTGTCTGCTATACTGTCTGACAGACATTGGCTTCACTGCCGAACGCATTCTCGCACTCATTCGCAACCCCTCTCTCCGTTTCGATCGCTTCGCCGCCAAACACATCAAAAACGGTATATAACTAGCGATGCGTTTGTTAAACACGTATAAAACAAAACCAATACTGAATTCATTAATACTATTGCAGTATATTTCACTACTAATTAAATCCTATTATAACTACTGGTTATCATCGGTGAGAGACAATGGCTTTGGATATATTCTCTCCGCACCGGTCGGGACGTAACTATTGGGATGTGTGGCGATGGCCGGAGAACCTAAACGGCCAACACTTCGGGCTCGACCTGAACGAGATGGTGGCGGCCGGGGGTCTCCGTAGCGCCACCGGTGGGTCGCAAGTGGTGAACGCCGGCGACCGGTTCGCCGTACGACTCGACTGTCAACACTTCACACCGGAAGAGGTGACCGTCAAAGTGGTCGGCCATCTGCTCGTCATTCACGGCAAGCACGAGGAGCGCTCCGACAATAACGGAAGTCACGGATCGGTTCGACGAGAATTTACGCGCCGGTATGTAGAGAGGGGGTCAGGGAGTGGGAATTTATTAAGTTACCTAGCTACGGAACAAATTATATACTTGATTAATTTATTGGATATATACTGTAGGTATGTATTGCCTGATGGGTGCGACCCTGAAAAAGTGTTGTCCAGTTTGAACGCGAAGGGCATACTGTCCATAGAGGCGCCCAAAAAGGCTTTGCCCCCACCGGACAACAGCGAACATGTTGTTCCCATAAAATTTAAAAAGTGATCATCGTGACCACGATCAGAGTGATACTTGACAGTCAACGTTATTATTTATATTTATTAATTACTGTAAATTGTAAAAATTGTACTTATGGTATACAGTGTATATATGGTATTTATGTATACCATAAATACAATTTTTATTATTTACAGTACAGTATCAAGATACAGTATAAAGGTATCAAGATATAAATTATGTTTTTCCAAATTAGTGCTTACAAATTTAAACTTGAAAATTTAAATTTCAGATAATATGATACATTATATTATAAAATATTTATTTTTTTGTTTTATATAATAAATTATATATTTACTCGAATACGATATTATTTATCATTTAATTTATCAATTATAAATTAAAGTGTAATACAATAATTTCTTATTATGCGGGTTTATATAAACTTAATGTTTATGTATTTGTTATTTAATAACATTTACGTAATTGAAGTGTTTTGATGTTTTCCTATGCATTGCATCATATGTAATATTGTAGTAAACAAGGAAATAAAATAATACAAAAATAGATATGTCCTTGAATGTCTAGACTAGAATAGTATATTATATAAATAACGTTCCACAATTTTAATATAGATTTCAACAAGTAGAAATAAGAGTTTAAATAATTTATGTGAAGATTTCTCAACAATGTTATATTTTATAATTTCAATTTAATTAGTATTGATAAACTACGGTAATAGCTAATTAATAAATGAATACTGTATGAAGATTAATGTATTTTGAAATAAAATTTATTGCTTTATCTTCCAAAACAATCATTTAAATAAATAATTAAGCAACAAATATTTTTAATTAAAATCACGATACAATCTAAATAAAATACATTATATTTACCATAATATTAATTATGGTCTCTCCACTTTAATGATATAACGAGTACCGTATATGCATATACGGTATAACATGCAATATCTGGTAATATATGGAATATCGGGCATTAAATGCCTATGAGATAATCTTACTTGCTGCTATTAAAAATATGCCTGTCCAGTTCAAGAAGCGTCTCCTTATTCACCACAACAACCGGCAGATTTATGTGCAAGTCGTGAGCGTACGGTATATCGAGGGTCACGTGTATCATGTATTTAACGCTTACGATCCAACTCCTGATGGACAGGGAGGCGGTGGTGGGAATGGTGACGAACACACACTGCGTGTCACAGGTTTCCTGGCTGACTTTGTTGCCCATTACCGGTCCGGCTATGGCCGCCTGCAGTGACTTATGCCGTTCGCCACACATATACACCTGAGTCTCGAATAGAGTGACTCGAGGGGTCGCGTCTAATGTCGAATGATTCTCAACCGTACAGTGGACCGCAATAGTGTCACCTTGGTCATTTGGCAATCAATCATTTAGTTTTAGACATACAATTGACTAAAATTAGTGCTATACATACCCGGAGCAAATCCCTTTTTAACCAAACTAGCATGGAGTTTTATCTAATGATTTACAGTAATTATATAAAATGCAGCATAAAATCAATGCAATTAACATACCCTTCCACCTCCAATGCAGGGAAAGGAAATGCTGCCACCCACCGAGACCTTGGTCATATAACAATCAATTACTTGAAAATTATCTAGTCTATCCCGTTTAAAAAATAATAAAAAGCAATAGAATTACTTTTAAATTAGTTTGCATAGGTGAGTCCACAGTAAATTTATAAGAAATCTTATGTGCCTGGTCAATGTTAGCAGTTATGTAATAGTGTATCGATCCGTTTGGGCTTTCAAATGATGAAGGAATACCTCTAAAAAAATTGTGAATTAATTATTATTAACAAGGTAATGTAATGTTACTCAATATAATTGTTCATACTCATTCGGCAAAGTAAACTCAAACGGTATGACATGATCACCCGGGCCCATGCACTTGTCACAATCTATTTATTAATATAAAATTTTGATTTAATCATTTAAATTAAATTGAATTGTTTGTAACATATATATCATACAAACCTTGGTTTAATATATTGGTATTATAAGTGAGTGAAAATTTAATATAGTTAAAAATAAAATACTCTAGCAAAATAATATAATGCGGACATACATTGCTCAGGCATTTTGTAGACCAAATCAATACAAGTCCGCTGATCTTTGTACTCCTGTCCCTCGCAGTGAAAGTAAGTGCCGGCGCTCTCAACCCATTTGGATTCGGCCACACATACTAACCCTATGTGCGGGTAGGGCGCACTTTCCGGCCCTAGTATTGTCAATCGCAATAAGCCAGATACTTTATCACCAGCCAGATAGTGTAGTTTCTTATTGTCCAAGCTAATGTCCAACTTAGAAATGTGTGATTGATCCATAATTTAATCTTTGATCTATAGCAATTGGTCAATATATAATAATAATACATTTTTAATTATAATTTTAATATACCGACAATATTTGTTCAAATACTTGACAGTGGTGCTTTATTTGAAAATATTATTATAATTTATTTAACGTCACTGTGGGTGTTATATTATTTACGTATTTATGATAAAAATAATAGACATTAATATAATTTATGATAAAACTAAAGTTACACTATTAATAACAAGCTGGTTTAACAAAAATTATATTGTTAGTTAACAAACAGTTATTTTGTCAGTTTTTATGTTGTTTACAGTCTATGAGTCTGTGAAAGCTAGCAGTCAGTCAGTCTGTGTGCACCCAATGCTTGCCATTAGGGGGAAGAGTGTGTGACATCTCTTATACTTAATATAATCTATTTTTACTCTCTCTCTCTCTCTCTCTCTCTCTCTCT